AGAAAGCGGAGATTTGGGGTGAAAGCCAACACTCATCTTCCTGGAATGCTTGTAAATTGTGAAGAATTTCAGATTACTGGTTTTACCACCAGCGCACTGTAAGTGAATGGGGGTATGTTGTTCTCCAGTTTGAACATAAAAATGGAGAAAATTGAGCACAGTGCAGTAATGAAGTATTTTGTTCTTGCAAGGCAAGCTACTGCAGGATATTTTTACGGAGATGCACGGCGTATATGGAACTGATTGTCCATCCTATGCTGTGATAAAATTTTGGTGTAAAAAAAGTGACGATGAGGTCAAAGAAGCGGTAGAGGGCTGGTTTTCTGACATAGAGAGGGTCCTCTATTCTCAAGGTCTTTTCAAGGTCATACACTACATAAAGAAAGACTAAGCTTATTACCAAATTTCAGTTTTCTACCTTTATTCCTTCATGGTAAGGTAAAAAGCTTTTGGTATGCCCCTCGTATGCCTGTGAGTAGAGGGCGCCACTTGCAGTTACTCCTTTTCTGTCCCGAGGTAGTTACTACTTTTCTTTCTTTCGGTTGTCTCTGGTCTGTTTTGATTTTTCTCTGCGCTAAGAGATTGTCAGGTTGTTTTTCTTATTTTCTTTCACCCCTTCCCCCCCTCCCCCCCTCCCTTTCGCTAAAAAAAAGAGCAAGACAAAAGTACATTTCGACTCCAGGTTTTAAAATATGACACTAAAAGTAAAAGTGTTTTTCTGGGTAACGTCAAGGAGACCAAAAAGTGGAGCCATTGAGAATGGAGGGCCTTTTTTTGCGTGAAAAGGGAAGATAATTCTGAATGGAGGATTTAAGTTTACTTAGATTTTTAAAAATCTACTTTGACAAGGTTTTTTTTTCCTACAGAGACGGATTTGAACTTTCTATTGAACATGGCACTGCAGAAAGTTGCTTTCTTGCCATTTGGGTATTTGATTGACCAGTGGCGGTGGAGCGTGTTCAGGGGGGATACGACCCCGGAGAGCTACAACGAGGACTGGTGGAGTCTCAGGTATCTGTCTGTCTGTCTGTCTGTCTGTCTGTCTGTCTGTCTGTCTGTCTGTCTGTCT